ACCCCCGGCTCGCCCCAACTTCGGAAAAAAATAAAAATTAGTGTTAACTTTGGTACTTCTTTACGCTTTAGTTGATTACGGTTTTGAATAAGTCATGCATTTTTGTGGCTATAAAATCATGACAATAAGAGTAAATAAAAAATTTAAAATTAAATTATTTTTAAATATAAAAAATGGTGCAAGGTTTCTCTCTTCTTCGTTCTCCATCTTTTTCTACTCATGCCCCTTTCCACAAAGGATATAAAATAATTAAAAGAAACTAAAGTTAATTTAATTTCAGAAGGCTGACATATTGCCTAGGGACATGTTAGGCATGTTTAGTAAACTAGTATTAGAACTCGTGCAATGCGCATTAAATATTAAAAAAAATTAAGCATTTTAAATTATAATTTATCTTTTTAGCAATATCATATCAATGTTGCATTAATGGGATTCCAATTGGCATCTTACTTCTCAATATAATATTTTATTAATTAAATCTATATAAAATTAAAGAAAAACAAATCATATGGTCATCATATAATTTTTTATTACTATATTTTCTTTAGTAATATATTTATTATTTAGTATTATTATATTATTAATACAATATTTTATTGGCGCGTAATTTTGGCTCAATATCATACTTCACTACTCCTTTTAATATAGCATAAATATTTTCTTACTTCTTAAAAATTATTTTAAAATTTTTACTTTATTGTTCACAGTTCTTCAATTTGCTAAATTTATCAATTATCAATAAATTTATCAAGAATATAAAAAATTAAAAGAAATTAAAGTTAATTTGATTTCAGAAATTTGACATACATATTTACTAGGGACATATTAGGCATGCTCATTAAATAGGTTGGCCACTAACTACCAATCTGTCTATCTTGTAGGTGGGTTCTTAAATTGCTGCACTATTATAGATATTATTCTCTTCTTGCCCATTGATCTCCTTCTCTTTTCTCTTTTAGAAATCTTGAAAACTTTGTGATTGTTTTAATATGAAAGAGAAATATATAAATTGTACAACAACACAACTAACACTTCAATCTCAAATAAGTTGGAGTACGCTATATGAATTCTTATTGAATATTTTATTCAATTAATTTTTTTTCCAGAACAATATTATGCAAAATAAAAACAAAAATGAAAGTATTAAAAGTTTCCTTCCTTTGTAACTTTCAAAACTTTTTCGTAGTGATTCTCTTGCATGCCTCGTTTAAGAGAAAACCTAAATAGCTCTCTATATAGTTAACTGGCAAAGAAATATATGGACTCTACACTCGGAATAAAGTAAGTACAAAATGTGATATAATTTTTACAATGATAATGTAAAATTGAACATAAGAAAAAACGCTTAGAAACAAGAAAGGGCAGCCTGGTGCTTGGGAAGGGTCGTATCCAAGGAATATAATGTACATAGTTTATCATAATACTATCATTAATGACTATTTCTACAATTCGAATCCCTAACATATTAAGTAACACGAAAACAACTATATCATTGCTCCAACGTTCCCTTGAACGATAATGTAAAATGAAACATAAGAAAAAACGGTTGAAGCAGCAGAATTTTAAAAGCACAGCAAGTACTTCATTAATTAAACATCAAAATAACACACACCTCCCAACTGTAAAATGGACATATGGCATAATCAGCACCTTTTAATTATAAAAGTCGGGCTGCTGCAGGTTCATTCTTCAAAATTCTAATCAATTTCTAGAATTCCTTTTACGTGGCAATCGACGCTTGGTTGGAAGCTGTCAACTTCAAACATTTCTTATAATTTGAAATAAATAAATTTTAAATTTTTCATTTTAGTTTTAATGACATGCATGCCTTTATAGCTTATAGTATGTTTAAGTTTACGAGTTTTAATTTTTTTTTTTTCTGAACATTACGCACAATCAAATCGGCACATAAATTAAAATAGAAAAAGTAGTATATTGTAGAATTTGATTTATATATATTAGTAGTGCAAAAGACTTCTATATAATAGTAATGTTTTTTTAATTATAATTATAGCAGAATATTCTCAAATTTTTAGGTCATCAAATCAAAGTTATTAAAGTTAACAATTATAAGTTGTTTGAACTTGATAGTATAAAATAAAAATTGGTTACCACTCAAAAATTAAACTCTATATAATATCCTAAGAGACAACTCAATTTAGATTTTGGAATGTACAAACTATAAAGGTGTCTCCAACAAACTCTCCTTTACTAGAGTCTATAAACAAGGAAGAAAAGTTGGCCAAAACAAATCCAACAAAAAACTTTCTGAATATTTCTCTCTTCAATTTGATATTTTGCATATAAAGAAGCTGGTTAAAGTACGGCCAGGGGAGAATACTTTGATAGAATATTGAACGGGAACTGGAATAGGAATTGTTACCGGCGGATCTTTACCTAGAATCGAAGCTGACCTTTAACTAGCCCACAACTACGTAAATAATAATGGTATGTTTTTGCTTTCTAGTAGACCAGAAGAGGATTATGAGGCGGAGTAAACCGGTGGCTGGCTCGTGTTCGAGGTGCGGCCATGGTGCTAAAGTGGCTGATATGCGCACTGCCACCAGATTTTGTTATATCCCATTTTACTTCAAGTCTTGGAAGGCTATTGTCTGTAGTTTCTGCGGTGCCATTCTCAAATCCTACAGATAATTAGCTCTTTCTTTTTTGTGCTTCCGATGCCCAAAGAATTTCGCGTTCACGCGGGATCCGGGTGTCACACCCCTTTTCTACCCCCAAAAGATATATATGTCATATAGATTGGGTTAAAGAGTTTTTCCAATTAAAGTGACAAACTTGAGTAGGGATTATTTTACTTACAGAGTCGCCACTTGAAATTGAGTTTTGGGATGTTCCAAGTCACCTTTTATTTGAATCCCTAGTCAAAGGAAGGTTTGACTCTATTATTATTGGTCTGCGAAAACAAAGTTCGGGTAAGAAATTCTGTTGACCGGAGAGAAGGTGTAAAGCACTCCCCGAGTCCCGTGGCTCTAGCACAATCGCTTTATTGACTACATTTAACTTATATTATTTTTGAATAAACTTTGATTTATTGGTTTTCATATTTTATCTATCTGCTTTCAATCATTAAAATTACTTTAAAAAAATGATTTGAATAATACGTTGTCATAACCACGCCTCGCAAAGGAATGTGTGATCGAGACAAAATCAATTAACTTATCATAATCGCGCCTCGTAAGCGAATCCGACATCATGACAATCAAATATTTGTACTATTTTGAGAAATTACTATATTTGGGCTTGAGAAAATTATTATTTTTTGAAAATTATAAAAAAAGTTACTATCGCGCTACGCAAGCGAATCTGAGAGTATGGCAAAATGATTAGAAATTAATTAAAGCTATACAGCCTAGTATGATGTTATTGAATTAAATTATTGAATGTTAAATATCATGCTACGCAAGTGAATCCGTGAATGAAAAAGTTAAAGCGCGCCTACTAATTGCCTAGCGTTTAAATTAATTAAAAAAGTGACCAAGTTACTAATTTACTTAGTATTATAAAGGAAAACAAAACAAATTTTTTGATGAGCTTATTTGACTAAGTTAATATACAACAACTGGGCCAGCCTATAGAGTTTGTATGTTTTACCCGAAAGAATCAAGTTCATTTGACCCATTTATTCACTTTGTGACCACATGGCCCAATGACTTAGTTGCCCTAGGTTCCAATCTTATTTCTCAACCCAACCATATATATTATATCCCAACAACATTTCACATTTTTTACCTAACTGTAAAACTTAACAAAAATCTAATAATAAGCATACCCATCTCTACACATGTCCATATTAATACAAACTTAAAAAGAGGGAAAACTAATTATAGATTGCAAATGTTAATCCTGTTTTGAAACTACCAGACAAAGCAATTATCGGTGCATTTCATTGGATTGACCATATGAAAGAATATATATATATATATATATATTCTATCAGTTTTTCAAAAATTTAACAATGGTAAGCTCATGTCAATGCAGTATCCAAAAATAGGCATCAACATAACAATGACAAGAATAAAAACCAAAAGAAAGAAAAGACTTTAAGAGAGTAAATTAATTTTTTTTTACTGCTCACTATTTTAGCCATGCCCGTGCCTCAAGAAAGTTGAGCTTTAACTATTCAAAATAGTCTATACAAAGAAATATTTTTTATAACTGAGATTACTTTTGAAGTTTAAACTAGTTGACCAGAGATCTAAATATGGACATGACTTTCACGAAAGAAAGGAAACAAACTAACATTAAAAACATGCAAAACAATCAGAATAAACTCAAAATATCTTTTTCTTCTTTTATCATTCATTTATATAAAAGCTACATAGATAGAGTTCCAAAGGGTACCTAAGGTGCAGAATGTGAGACGACGAGCTATGAAGTTCAACTTTGACTCAAAGCTAGCTTACGAAATTTCGAGAACGAACAGCAATAAGTAAACCGCAGTAGCAGTGAACAAACCCAGCAAAACTCAGAGAAATCCAGTAGAAATATAGCAAAATAAAATCCCAAGAATTAATACTTCAAACTGAAATGCAAGCGTTTAAGCTAGACAGAAACCTTCTTTCCCCTTTTTCTTTTTTTCTGGAAAATTTCACAGGTGAAAGACTGTTGAAATTTTATCTTTAACTCTCAAACATTCTGACCTTTTTTTCTCTCGAGTTGTGTTCTTTCTTAGAGTGTAAAGGATGTCTCCTCTAAGTGTCATAGAGTGTGTGTGTCTATAGGAGTGAGTTGAGAGAAGCGAGTGTGTGAAGGGTAAGCAGATTGGAGGGAGCCAACCAGGACTGGGTGATAGCTAGGGATTGTTTTGTGTAAAAAGGGAGAGATCCGTTCTTTTTTTTCCTCCTTTTTTTTGGTGTGTTATGTGTGTGTTTTAATGGCTGAAAATAGGGTATGGGGTTTGTGAGTGGGGAACAAAGTGTGGGGGACAAGCATGGGGGCAAGCGTAGGGGACAAGAAAAAGTGGAGTGAGGACAAAGTGTGGGGAACAAAGAGTGGGGACACGCATGGGAAGATGGGAGCAGGAAATATTCAAGCACGGTAAAAAATTAGGTGCTTACAGTATGCCTATCTTTGCTTGAAAATATTAAAAGTTTTCAGGCAAAGATAAAGTGAGCCGTGTGACTAAGTTTTTGACCATATCGTTATTCAAAAGAGGAAGAAAATAAAAGAAAAAGGTAAAACCGAGTCCTGATTTTGGACAGCCTATATATCCCGGGTTATAAGGGAATCAGGTCGCGTGTAGTTCAAGAAGAATGATGGAGTGATGAGCTCGAAAGTCGAGCTAGGTTCTGTCGAGGCTTCGGTCCGTGGCCCTGTTATTACATCAAAATCTAAAGGAACTAAACAAGCCTATCAGCTATAAGTTACAAGATTCCTATTTATAAATCTTCTGAACCTTGATCTTGAGTCTTGACTGGTTGTTCATGCAGACTCTGATCTGAACCTTGATGCTTGCTAGCTGTAGGTGCTAGTTCATTCTTCTACGGCTTCTTCTGAGCAAAACGGGAAATGTGAAGCTCGTAACTTCAGTCATATTTTGAGCAGTCCATATCATTTCTATCTGCTTCTGCATTTGGATTCACTTTTTTTTTCTTTATTTTGGATTCAAACTTTTTATTTTGTTCATCTCGAACCTTGTGCCTCGAGGTAAAACCTGCTCAGATATCACAACAAACAAACGAACGAAATTTTTCTGCCTCAGTTTTCACTAGAAACATTTCGTGAGTTATTGTAAAAAAATTCTAAACTACTTCTTTATTGAAAGCAAATAAAAAATAAAAAAAACCAGTAATGGTGCACCCTGTAAAGGTCATGATGATTTTGTTTTTTTATTGTCCCAAAAGAATGTCTCAACTAAGGATTTGTGTACCTTATGTTGGGAAAATATGGTCAGAGAACGGGATACCCTATATTGGCAATGATACCAGAGAGTGGTGTATCCTACATTTAAAATCAAATCAACTAGGGAGTGGTGTATCCTATATTGGAGATCACAGCTAGGGATTGGTGTACCCTATACTGGTAAGGAGATCAGGGATTAGTGTACCTTATGCTGGTAAGAAAATATAATCAGGGGATTGGTGTACCCTGTATTACTGAGAAGAAAATGTAAACAGAGGTTGGCACCCTGTATTACTGAAAAGGAAATGTAACCAGGGGTTGGTGCCCTGTATTACTGAAAAAGAAATGTAACCAGGGGTTGGCGCCCTGTATTACTGAAAAGGAAATGTAACCAGGGGTTGGCACCATGTATTACTGAAAAAGGAAATATAACCATGGGTTGGCGCCTTGTATTACTGGAAAAAAAAATGCTGAATCCCCGGGGCGAAAAGGGTCTACCTGGGTTAAACTACGAAAAGCAAACCTGGGTGAAGAGTACTTCTACTCGAAATATGAGCTGTATCCCCCTAGGCGAAAAGTTTCTACCCGGGTTAAACTACGTAAAACAACATTAGCGAAGAGTACTTCTACCCGGAACTATGAGCTGGATCCCCTAGGCAAAAAAAGGTTCTACCTGGGTTAAGCTACGTAAAACAACCTGAGCGAAGAGTACTTCTACCCGAAACTATGAGCTGGATCCCCCTAGGTGAAAATGTTCTACCTGGGTTAAGCTATGAAAAATAAGCTTCGCTAAAGAGTAACTTCTACCCGGAAATATGAGCTGGATCCCCTAGGTGAAAAGGTTCTACATGGGTTAAGCTACGTAAGACATCCTAAGCGAAGAGTACTTCTACCTTGAACTATGAGCTGGATCCCCCTAGGCAAAAATGTTCTACCTGGGTTAAGCTACGTAAAACATCTCGAGCGAAGAGTACTTCTACCTGGAACTATGAGCTGGATCCCTCTAGGCGACAACGTTCTACCTGGGTTAAGCTACGTAAAACATCTCGAGCGAAGAGTACTTCTACCTGGAACTATGAGCTGGATCCCTCTAGGCGACAACGTTCTACCTGGGTTAAGCTACGTAAAACAGCCTGGGCGAAGAGTACTTCTACACGGAACTATGAGTTGGATCCCCCTAGGCGAAAATGTTCTACCTGGGTTAAGCTACGAAAGACAACCTGGGCGAAAAGTACTTCTACCCGCAACAATGAGCTGGATCCCTCAAGGCGAAAAGATCTACCTGGGTTAAGCTACGTAAAATAACTTGAGCGAAAAATACTTCTACCCGGACCTATGAGCTGGATCCCCCTAGGTGAAAAGGTTTTGCCTGGGTTAAGCTATGAAAATGAGAGGTATGGACAGTAGTGATGCATGCTGAAGATTTTAAGGAGCTTACATTTGGTGACATTCGTCCTTTGAGAACCGCCATTCTGCACTGCTTTGTTCCTGCTTCAAACAAAAAAAAATTGTGAGTTTTTAAAGTGGTGGTCGGTTTGTGGCCTTGATGCACTGAGGAGTTTGAGTTCACGGACACCCCGTTGTCGAAGAACTGATTCTATCAGAGTGGTACCGAGATGCTCGGATACTTTGTATCATTTTTTGGAGACTTTGTCTTTCTGACGTCTCCCCTAGTTGTTTCATACTCGGATGTCCATGGTACCGCTAATCCTTGTTCCTAAAGCAAGGCAATTTTCTTTTAAAATTAAACTTACTTGTCTTGCACCCAGAAGTAATTTGTGTCAGTAGTGCTTATCAACTTTTCCCATGAAGCAAGTCTTGCTTAGGATACCTTTTCAGTTTCTTTGAGACACATTGTCCGCCTTATCAAAAGAGATCACAGATAGATTCCTGCTTTCGTCAATGTCGTATATGCTCCAAATT